TCCCTCCCAGTTCCCTCCCAGTCCCTCCCAGTCCAAACCAGTTCCCCCCCCTCCAGCCTACACCTACTTCTACCGCTCCCACCTGTACTGGAAGTTCGACAACGCCGCCCTGCGGCCGCTGCCCGGCCACCCCAAGTCGGCGCTGCGCGATTGGCTGGGCTGCGGCGGCCCCGCCCCGCCCCGCCCCTCACCTGCCGCAGGTGAGGACGCCGAGGTGGTGGTGCTGGCGCTGGGGGCGGGGCCGGGGGCGCTGGCGGCGCCGCTGGCGCTGCTGGGATTGGCCGGGCTGCTGGGGGGCGGGGCCGTGCTCTGGCGGCGCCGCGGGGCCGCCGCGCACGCCCGGCTGCGCCGGTGCCAGCGCTCGCTGCTGCCGCGCGTCTAGGGCGCCGTTCGCGTGGACACGCCCCTTTTGTCAATGGACACGCCCCTTTTGTCAATGGACACGCCCCTTTGTCAATGGACACGCCCCTTTGTCAATGGACACGCCCCTTTTGTCAATGGACACGCCCACTCTACATGGACACGCCCCTTTCTGTCATTGGACACGCCCCTTTTGTCAATGGACACGCCCCTTTGTCAATGGACACGCCCCTTTTGTCAATGTACACGCCCACTCTACATGGACACGCCCCTTTTGTCATTGGACACACCCCTTTTGTCAATGGACACGCCCACTCTACATGGACACGCCCCTTTGTCAATGGACACGCCCCTTTTGTCAATGGACACGCCCCTTTGTCAATGGACACGCCCACTTTACATGGACACGCCCCTTTTGTCAATGGACACGCCCCTTTTGTCATTGGACACGCCCCTTTTGTCATTGGACACGCCCATTCTACATGGACACGCCCCTTATGTCATTGGACACGCCCCTTTTGTCAATGGACACGCCCCTTTGTCAATGGACACGCCCATTTGTCAATGGACACGCCCCTTTGTCAATGGACACGCCCCTTTGTCAATGGACACGCCCCTTTTGTCAATGGACACGCCCACTATACATGGACACACCCACCCGACTCACCTGGACACACCCCCATAGTCAATGGACACGCCCATTTGCATAGACACGCCCCTTTGTCAAAGGACACGCTCATTTGCATGGACACGCCCACCTGAGTCACCTGGACACGCCCCTTTGCCAATGGACACCCTCATTTGCATAGACACGCCCACCTCACTCACCTGGACACGCCCCTTTGCCAATGGACACCCTCATTTGCATAGACACACCCACCTGACTCACATGGACACGCCCCTTTGTCAATGGACACCCTCATTTGCATAGACACGCCCACCTGACTCACATGGACACGCCCCTTTGCATAGACACGCCCCTTTGCCAATGGTCACGCCCAATTTGCATAGACACGCCCCCGACACTCCCAATTAGCATGGACACGCCCCCAGACTAACCCAGACATCCCAATTTGCATAGACACGCCCTCAACACTCCCAATTTGCATAGACAGGCTCAGAACACTCCCAATTTGCATAGACACGCCCCAATCTC